GAGATTCTCCATTTTTCTAGTGGACGCTGACCCGACACTGGCTAAGTCCAAACATGATGGCTATATCTTTAATGTCCTTAAACATAGGCAGGTCACTGCCCCCTTTTCATAATCTGATTTGGATCCAGAGTTATATAGTCCAGTTCCAGTGCTTTGGCCATTCTAATCAGTCGTTCTGGTGTATATCTTACATTGGTGACACCGGGGTTGGATCCCCAATCTTGTCATCGGGCAACGAGAGGGAGGGGCAGTCAGACTCAATGTCTGATGCAGGATTGTGGGGTCTGTCCAGATCCAGAGATAAAGGATCAGCCCCAGGTTGGTCTTAATGACAATTGTTGGTGGACTGGCTGTGAAAGGTATAGTGAGGCAAAGATAAAGAATGATGATGCCAGCCCAGTAACTGGGATTTTGCATTCCATGGGACCCATGGTGGAGGGGCCCAGGGAAGAGCATATTGCCCATTGAACGTGAGGGGCCCAATGTCTAATATGGGGAGCATCCATGGACCAAGAAGTCACTTGAGACTTTGAGTGTTTGGTTTGGGAGCTTTTTGCTACCAATGGGACTTCTACAATGTCATCTTCGGACAACTGGTTCTCAGTTTGGCCCAATGATGGTGATGGTGTCTGAGGCTTTTGCATCTGCATTCCCTCTGGTAATTCACTTCTGCATCATTGAATAGGGGAATGACCTCAACTTGAGGATGACCTCTGATGTCGAGATGAAACCAACCTTCGAGATAGGGTTGGTGAACACATTCAGCATTGTGTCATACTTTATGACTGATGACGATGTGGAGATGTCAAAGTGTCAAAGTGTCACTCGGAGTGAAAGGACATTGGCCTCGAGGAAGTGGAGACTTGAGGTTGAGGCAATGAGCCCCAATGTCAAGGGATCAATGGTGATTGGCGCTGAGTTGGAGTGGATTTCAGCAATCTCAAAGCTGTGTTAGATGGTAAGTCCAACTTGGTTTCTTCAATTTCCCATTTAGCCTCATTTTTGGATTGTTTTCACTGGGAGTTCTGAAACTGCTCTTGTCATGGCTCCTGTCTCTTCAGCTGAGGGCTTTGGCCTAGCAGTCAGAATAGAGGCCACAGATGGGGGGCAAGAGCCTATTTCAAAAAGGCCTGAGGGTTTCAGTGGGACTCCAAGGGATTTCTTCCACAGTGCCGCCTTAAGGCACACTTTAAGTGTAAAAAGGTGGCATGCTTGGAAAGTGGTGATGATATGCCCCTCATCTAAACACATTAAGTACTCGGAGTGCTCGTCGTTCTGGGCCACTTTAGTGCCACAAAACAGGCACTTTTTAAAAAGGGCCATGAGGAAGATCTTTTATTCATGAAACACTCAAAGGTGAAATGCTGAGGCAATTTTTAAACCAGGAGCTTGGAATAGTTTCTCTATGCAGAAGAGAACTGAAGGAAGAGCACTCCCCATTCCATCACGTGACCGAATGGGCAGGAAACGGGCCTGCGCCAGAGGAGAGGGGGAGCACTCATCTAGGAGCTTTCTAGAAGCTTGTGAATTTCTCTTCCATGGCAGGCCCTGCATCAGGGCAGTCTCATGTGGGAATGTGCAGAAGACACAATGATGAACCCTTGCTTTTCAAATAAAAAGTTAATTCTTTCAAACTACTTATCAGAATTAGCATGGAGGAAACGTCAATCTCACTTCAGTCTAAAGGTCAAGAAGATCATGTATGTGGGCTTGCATTTAAGTAGGGGAAATAATTGGACAGCATAAATAGAGGTCTGCATTCCTCTAAATGTGTCATCAGAAACGTCCCAGAAACAAGCTCAAAGATTAAAAACAATATTGATGAGTTTTCCTTACTTATACAATCAAACAACAAACATCCTTGCTTTTATAAAATGCATAAGAAAATTTATTAATAAAAAAATGTCATTAGGAATTATCAATCAAGTGTCCCAAGATAATAACATATGGTCCTGGTCACACGGGCCAGATAACGGGGGTGGGTGGGGGGGAGGCATGGCTGTTTGCCCCGGAGCAAAATAAAGCACGGTAGCCCGATCACACGGTCCCCCGAGTCTCCGTGCTTCAGCTGTTAGCTGGCGATCACACTGCGATGCTGCAGCATGGCAAAGAAGAAGAAGAAGAAGAAGAAGAAGAAGAAGAAGAAGAAGAAGAAGAAGAAGAAGAAGAAGAAGAAGAAGAAGAGATTGGATTTATACCCCGCCCTTCACTACCCAAAGGTGTCTCAGAGTGGCTTACAAACTCCTTTCCCTTCCCCTCCCCACAACAGACACCCTGTGAGGTAGGTGGGGCTGAGAGAGCTCTTGACAGAAACTGCTCTTTTTCAAGGACAGCTCTTATCAGCTCTTGCCCAAGGTCATCCAGCCAGGTGCAAGTGGAGGAGTGGGGAATCAAACTTGGTTCTCCCAGATTAGAGTCTGCGCACTTAACCACCACACCAAACTGGCGGTGCGGCGCAATCACACAAGCGAATCACATTTGTGCGTATGTACAATTTCGCAGAGCAGCACTGCTTTCAGTTTCATGTTTGTGTGCATGCACTTACGAAAAACATCTGGTTTGCAATGGGATGTGGATGGGCGCTGGATGCCATGGGATACTAGCACTCCCGTGATCAGATGCCCACTTGTGCCATGCGTTTTCTGGATACTAGTGCACTTTCCTTGGTACTTTTTAACTCCACATCTTTGGCGGGATGCCTCGGGTTGGCCACGGGTGCGCTACGCTTCCCAGATGTTGCGGTGTGATCGCGCTCCAAAAATCCATCCGACATCTGTGTCTTTCGTGCTGCAAATTCTCTGTGTGACCAGGGCCTTTAAGTAAGGTATAGATAGGAACTCTCGGTCTGGGGCAAGTGATGCTCTGTATTCTTGATGCTTGGTGGGGGCAACAGTGGGAGGGCTTCTAGTGTCCTGGCCCCACTGCTGGACCTCCTGATGGCACCTGGTATTTTTGGCCACTGTGTGACAGAGTGTTGGACTAGATGGGTCATTGGCCTGATTCAACATTGGCTTCTCTTATGTTCTTATGTTCTTATTAAAACTTGTTGTCAATTACCCACAATAAACCTAAACGTTATTACTCTTACCAATTTCAGCACTACAGAACCCATACTGAAAATTACATAAAAATCATTTTAATCCACAGAACTTTGATCAAACTTGTAAAGCTGTACAATAAATCTGAATCCGTAAAATCATTAGACAGACCCATATGAAAAAATGCATAAATTCCATCAAATATATATTTTTAATATGAAATGTGTTTCAGGAGCTTCAGCTGTAATGGAAGCTTAAAGCGATAAACAAATGAAGAAAATAAACACATAAATGAACTTTTTAAAAGCACAATAAAATTTTAACAGCCATTCTTTATCTTGAAAATACAATATTCCTACAGCAGAAAAATGTACCGCAGACTTTGAAGGGACATGCAAAAAAAAATTAAAGAATGTTGTTAGACTCAGCTCAGGCAGCATTTATTTCAAAGTAATTATCAAATATTCCTTGAACATTACTTACTCAAGATGCTTGTCAAAAGTAAATGACCATCATTGACCCAAACATTTTAAGGAACCACAGTTTGGGACTCTTTTCAGCATATCAACGTGAACACTAGTTTCAAAGGAAGTACTCTCGGGATCCTCTTTTTAAAAGGTTTCTACATTAAAGTGACAATTTTAAAAAAAAGAATCTAGATACAGACAAGGAAGCTACACAAGGAAGGATTTAATGTACAAAATCTAGTTTATTCTTTTGTCCTTATAACCCCTGAACTTCTGCTCCATTTTTCTTCTTCTTCTTCCTCAACCTACTTCCTTTTCTATATGAAAAAGTCCTGTCAGCCCAGCAAGGAGCCATGCACTCTCTACTGGGACAATCTTTTTAACAGCAGAATAAGCTACAGCTATTTGCATACAACAGTGAGTTTACCTATTTCCTTAGGGACATAATGTCTGTCTTAGTAGTGAGGGAGCCATACGTAATGCCTCCTCACTTAAGTTTTGGAATCAGTTCAGCCTAATAATAAAAAGGTGCCAATAAGCATCTCTTTGTTCTTTATAAGATTCCTATTCTCTTTCTTCTTTCCTCCTCTCCTGAGGTTATCATTAAAAATACTGTTCTGTGTTCAGGTGCCCAGCAGGCTCCAAGACTCATTCACGTGCTTATCTGTTCCACTGTTCTACATCGTTACTGATCTGTGAGGAGCAGGCATGAGGAGCATAAGAAAACCAGAGTTGCACTTACCTGTTCATCGAGTTGTCTTCTGTGCTGGCACACATTTGGCCTGTGCATGCACAGTCCCAATGTGAGACTGCACAGAAGACTGAAGATGAACTCTTGTGCCCAGAGATTTGGATATCAGCTTTCCAAAAAAATCTGTAGGTAGATATTGTCAAGGAGTGCTCAGTCAAGTATAAATGTGCTAGTGGCAGCCAAAGTAAAAGTAAAGTAAAAAAGTAACCCCCAAGAGCTGGGGCTCAGAGAATCTCAAACCCTTCCCTAAATGTCTGGTTTCTTTGACAGAGATACAGCCATGATTACTGAAAATAAACAATCTGATTAAGGGTTTTAAAAAATGCATGATAGCTCCAGTGGGCAAATGGAACTCACACATGAATTATAACTTTCCTGCCAATAGTATTATCAGGAACAGTTCCACATGTACATCTTACCATGGCTCCTACAGAAAACTTTCATGGTGGGGTGGTGGGGGCAGCAATTTTTGTCAAATCCTCCCCTTTTGCTGAAGGCATCTTGCTTGACCCTTGGTACTGTTCCTGGGGATACCCTGTCCCTGAGGAGCAGTATTGTGGAGGGCACTAGGCTGCAGCAGGAGGAGGGAAGAAAGAAAGTCTCTTTCCATGGATGGAAACCCCTCCCCATCAATGGACATTTCCGGTGGGAAGAGCTGCCCTCAAAATTGCCACACTGGAACATCGGTGGAACCACTGGACACAGATTGGAAGTATTTTCATTGGTAATGAAGTAAGAATTTACCTTGACAAGCTGGGACAGGTACATCCCATGCATGATATCCATTGGGAGATTTCCTACATACAGCAGTACTCTTCCCAACGAGCCGATATCCTCGGTCACAAGCCCAGCGAACCACACTGTTGAGCTGTCCGCCTGTCTGACTGACAATGAACCCATGAGGAGGTGACTCTGGAGTACTGCAGTAAAGAGCTTTAGGAAAACAAAGCAAACCATGCATTTTGTTCCTTGTACCAAATTATTTAACAGAAGCATCTGCCTATGTGGATTGGAGGAAACATGTGTGGCCCCTTTAGAAGCAGAGGTAAGGGTTTTCTAACAACTGATGCAGCCACTGGCCATGTCCCACTCCACTTTATTTGAACATTATATTGGGGAGGCTTGTGGCACCAGAGAGGGACACCGGGATATCTGCTGGGTTGTGTCACAATCAGGGTCTGATGCTACACTACTATTACCAAAGATATTTCACCTAGTTCTGCTTGCTTTTGGCTTTGGAATAAATAGATTGAACAAAGGTGCATAGGAGGGGAAACTTGGGAGAGCAAAAAGGCTGCACAACTTGTGCACACAGTGGGGTGCCTAATCTCTTACAATTCACGTATATCCTATACTTTGTAATATACTACTTGGGACTTCATTAAAAAAGTCATTATTACTGCACCAATTATCACTTAGACTATAATTTATTTTCCTATTCAAATACATGATTTGTGAATCTTATTTCTTCCTGTCCGATAAAATTTGCATGTGTTAATTACAAACATAATCCAAATACACTGTGTCAACTTCTAAGTGCAATCTTCTGTCTGAAGATCTTGCATACCATAATTAAGTCTTGTTCTAACATGTATCCAGCCTAATTAATATTGGTAGGCGGATCAAGAAAGATGGCGTAGGGCATTTGCTGGACAAAAAAGAATGTGAACTCACCTGACATGTAGCAAGGGACAGGAAGAACTCCAGACATACTGAAAAGATGCAAATGACTGCTGCTTAACTTTGCTGTACTTCAAAAGGAAGGACTGGCTAATTCAAGGAGGGCCTTGCTTGATCTATCTGGCCACACACTTCTGTTAATACCTGGTTCCTTTAAGTCTGTTTTGAGAAGCTAATGGGTCTTTGCTGCCTAAAAAGATCTTAAAAGACAATCTGGACTGCGACATGACTAGTTTTTACTATTTTCCTGTGCCATGAATTTCCTGATTTCTTTAATTAAATAGATATCTATTCTAAATAGATATTGATAATAGATAATAATTCACCTTACACAATTCATAATAATTCACCTTACACCCATCAAGAAAGTCTCTCTGTCTCACTAGATCTTACGGTTGTAAGAGCCCAGTGCTCTTAGAATATTTGACTAAGTAATGGGCTCTAAAGTAGGAAGGAAAACAGAGATAAAAAGGCTTCTGCAGGTCCCACTGAATGCATACTTTTCAGATTTATAAATGACCTGGGTTTAAAAAAAAAGGCTTTGGAGCATGAACATATCCCATGAGATGGACTCTGTAACAAACTGCATTTATAAATCACAAAACTTGGCAATAAATTTGGAGAGAGTCAATAAATTTGGAGAGAGTATCAGTAGGGTCAGACTCCTGATTCAACAATGACATCTACAATTCTGTGTCAGAAGCCAATCACACTTTGGAAACTGTCCACAACTTACACATCTGAAAAACCAGTCACTTATTTCAGTTGTAAAGTCCCCACCAATATCTTGTCTAAAGGAAAAGTCAAATCAAATTTTGAAAGATGCCAAAACAGTTTAATTATAAGTAAAATTCCTCAGGGGGAGGAGAGTCTCCATTACCTCTAAACTAGATGGGAGAAACTTTCGAATCATGAATAACTTTTATGACTTTACTGAAGGCTCAGAAGCTTCTGTGGTATTGATTAGGCTAGTGGAATAGAATTTCCATACTGGCTAGACACAAACTGCCAATGTTCACTATCCTTTAAAATAGATAGCCCTGAATACTGGAAAAAAGATCCATTTACACATTTTGGAGGGTGATTTTTTTTTCCTAACGTGCTTACATGGTTATCAGTATACTGGGTAAGCTAGATTCTAGTCCAGTAGCACCTTAGAGACCAGTAAGATTTTGGGTATATAAGCTGAGACAAGTTCCCTTCATCAGATACCATGGTGGGTATAAACATTTGAAGATGACCAAATCAGTTGCTGGAAAGGTAGAAAAATAATATATTTTATTTACATACCTATATATCTTATCCTGAAACCCTTTTTGTTGGTGCCATGGTCTGCTGACCATCGGAGGAAAACTTCATGGCCACTGCTGGTTACATTTAGAGAGGAAGAATAATCTCCACTTAGGGAGATTAGCAGTGGACTGTGACTGTTTGGTCCTTGATAACAGGCAAAAGGGGGAAGGAGGCAGAAAGAAGATAGGCTAAAATTAGAGATGTATCAAAAGTGAAATAACACAATTCAATGGACCTATACATTGGATATCACAAAACAATTCATATATATATATATATGTGTGTGTGTGTGTATGTATATATATATAGACAATGATGGAGAACAACTGAAAATGACAACATATCACAACAATGGCAATGGAACATATGAATATGAGGCTTATGTCAACATTAGTGGCTAAAAACCAAACACAAGCATTGCACAGATGCATTGAAGGCTGTGTATAGTTACCATCAAACACCTCAAGTATATCAAATTCCTTTTCCGTTTGAAAGAATTCAAAGTAAAGGCTAATATTATAGCCCTTTTCCACAGTAATGGTCCATGCACACATTTGGAGGTTTGGGTAGCTATCTGGGTAGCCAGGGCTCAATATCACTCCTGTTGAATCCAGGCGCAATTCATTTGCAGGACAAAGCACTGCAAAAAGAAGAAACACTCTCAAAATTTAGATAACTGGAAAGTCACAGGATTCTCCCTGTTGCCTCATTTTTACCATCCTAAACATGCACATCAATGATTTAATTTCCACGAACACAAACAACTTAAGGCATGTTAACAAGCCCTTTTAAAATAAATCACTGCATGAGTAAATAGTGACTAATGCTCCTGATTCCACAACAAGGACACTTCGGGCGATTTCTCACTAGAGCTGCCTCGCAGCACAGCACCGTTTGCCTCGACACAAACATGTCCATTTCACACCCGAAGCTCCAGGGCTGCATTTTGACTCGGGGCTTCACCTGATTTCCTCCGCAGTATTGTGATCCTGGTTTTTGAGGATCATGAAACTGCGGAGGAAATCGGAGGAAGCCCCGAGTCAAATGCAGCCCCGCAGCCTCGGGTGTGAAATTGACATGTTTGTGTTGGGGCAAACGGCACTGTGCTGCGAGGCAGCTCTAGTGAGAAATCGCCCTTCCTGTCCCCCTAATGTGTGTCAATAAAATCTGCTTAGATTTCTACCTGTTTTCAACAGAAGGCACAGTGTCATTTTGTGAGGACATGCATAAGATGTAAGGAAAAGAAGACAAATGAACTTTCTCTTGGGGGACTTTGTCAAATGATTCAATTTACTGAGCCATAACATAAACAATTGTTACATAAACAATAAAAAGGTATTGAGATTTTACTTGCAATAGTCTAAAATGAGGCAAGTTTGGGTAAATATTCTCCTCAAATAGTAAGATCCGATCAGATCTATTTTTTAATCATTTGTTTCTGCAGTTATCGTATGGAGCTGGCTAACCACGGCTGCTCCTTCCATGCATACCCGTGCAGAGAGTACATTTGCACAGTTTCTAGAGGTCCAACTCTCAGCGTATATTTCAGGTTACATGCATGCAAACACACACAGGGACACAACATTCACAACACAAAGGGTTTTATTTGGAATCAGATTCACGTTGTTATTTGAGTTATGTCCAGCATCCTGTTTGCTGGAGTAGCAGAATGTCTCTCTGCATGTTAGAGCAACAATAGTACAATGGGGGAAATGGACATAGTGCTGACGCCATGATGTCACTTCTGGCAGGAATCTGGAGGCATGCCACTCTAGGCATGCCACTCTAGGATGGTAAAACTATAGAGTTTCTGGTGAATCTTAGATCTATGCACTGATGGGGTGATATAGCTTCTGAGTTCAGAAAAGAACTGACATCTCAGCATTGGCGTGACAGCATTCACTATAACTCTGTGTCGTCCCCCCCACTTCTGCCAGGGGATGCCAGCACTGGGCATTTTTGCTCCACAGGGAAATGTATGTGTAAGGATGGCTATACATAGCTTTGGCTAACAGAATAGCTTTTGGGGGCTATTTCAGATCTGGAAAACAGCACAGACACTAAGCAAGAAGCCCCTCTTCCAGACGGGACCTGTGCATGCCTGAGAAACACAGAATTCCCAGCACACATGTGACCTAAAGTCTGCATAGTGGCCACAAGGACTTTGTAATGTGTCAAGCAACCCTCACAAAGATAGCTGATCATGCTTAGTGAGCAGCTTGCTCAATGGGCTCTGATAATTTGAGGCGGGTTGTAATCAATGTAAAGAATACTTAGGGAATTAAGGCCAATTAAAGAGGCAGAACAGCACTTTCTAAGAGCCAGCTGCTTATGCACACCAGGAGATAGTTTTTTGGTTCAAAATGGAACTTGAGAGACTTGGACTAATAATGACTTGTGAGCCAATGACTAGAAGGTTCCCCCACCCCCAAAAAACTACACATAGCTTTCTAAAAGGATACATTCAGAGAAGGATTATAATCAGAATCGTATCTGCTCATTGAGCCATTCTTCCCACCAGCCTAGCTTGAGAGCTCGAGACAATACTTTATTTTCCAGCTACTGAAATCACAAGCTAATTTCTCAGGGACGTTCCTTAAAAGCAATGGTTCCCACAGTCTAAAGGAACAGAAAATATTTGCAAAAAAAGCCCAACGGAACTTTATTCCTACTTTACAAATACCTGAACAGTGTGAGGGGAAACAGAGAATGAGATAGCTTGCTACCTGAAATATACACTGTACTTTGTGAAATGATACATTATTCAGATATGAACTAATAACCAATTGTAAGAGAGAGATTTTCTTTCTCCAGGTTATTCATATTTGTGGTATTAAATGGAAATAAACCACTGTAAGTACATAGGTAAACAGATACTTCGTAAATGTTGGGGGAACTGATCCATCTTTTAGCTATAAAGTGTCTGATTTTATTAGCACCTCAATTCAATTATTTATGAGCACATCTCTGCAAGCCTACTACACCAGTTTTCACCTTCTCTAAACATTTAATTTTACGAGCCAGCTAAAAGCTAAGAAGCTACTTTTAACCAGTGTGTGTGCGTGCGCGTGTGTGCTGCTTTGCCTTCATGTGCTCCAATTACTGCAAGCAAAACAGTGTCATTCATAACTTTTTCACTAAACAATTCTAGCAAGGAAAAGCTCTATTCAACCCACCAGACACAAGAAACATGCTCTTCTGAATATTGCCCCCAAGATTAGATTAGATTACTGCAATGTTCTCTGGGGTGGGGGGTCTGCCTTTAAAAACTGTCCAGAAACTTCAACAGGTGCTGCTGAATTCTTCATCCAGAATATTGACTAGAGTGGGTCATAGGGATGATATCACTCCATTCTTGGCCCATCTACACTGGCTCCCAATCTGTTTCCAGGAATATTTCAAGGTAGTGGTAGTGGTCACCTTTAAAGCCCTATATAGCTTGGGTCTAGCACACCTGAAGGACTGCCGACTCCCTTATGAACCTATCAGACCATTATGGTCATCTTCCAAGGCCCTGCTTCATTTGCCCCTGCCTTCTGAGATTAGGTGGGTGGCAACCGGGGAGAGGGGCTTCTTGTCCATAGCGCCAAAACTCTAGAACTCTCTCCTCAAGAGAGTCTCACCTGTTCTTTTCTGTTGTCATCTTCCACCAGCAAGTGAAGACTTTTTTCCCCTATGTTGAAATGCAGATTTTGTACATTTGTATATGTGTTTTAGCATTGGTTTTAATTGTTTAATGACTTATTTTGTTTGGTTTTAAGATGTGTTTTTATTATATACATATTTAATTTGTTAGCCACCTTGGTGGCCCTGATAAGGACAGAAAGGTAGGGTATAAATTTTGTAAATTAATACGTTGAAATGGTTATCTTGTTCTCAGACAAGATCACCTGCTCTAGATACGCTACCAGTTATACTTTAGTCCACTAACTGGCTGTTAAAACATGACCTTGCATGTAAGAATATGATTGGTTTCAGTCTCGATGAAAGTAGATACTCTTTGCAAATAGCTTTCCAATTAAATGCTGAATATATTTAGAATGTAATACTATGTAGAATTATTTCAGTTGAAGGCTGCTGAAACTAGTGGGTTTAAACTAGTGTCTCTGCACAGGATTGCACTGTCAGATTTGTAGTTCCAATTGAGTAGGAACTTCCTGGCTATAGGACAAATTTCTTTCTCCTTACTGCCTCCTTACGGGGATCCAATTTGTCAAAGGGACTCTGAGATCAAGCTGTATATATCTATGTTACTGTTGTTTTTTTATCTGTTAATCTAGAATCTTATATTTTAATAAAGTATATATTAAACAAATAAACAATGCAGTCCTAAGCCGAGTGCACACATCTGAGTAATTTCAATAAATGTAGAAGGGTGGAACTTTGCGTATATGATGCCACTGTAAGCCTCATTACATCCTGCCACTTTCTCTATACAGATGAGGGCAAAGGAAGTTATGTTTTTTGCCAGGTTTTGCAATGCTTCTTCTCTTTCATTTTCAAGTGCCATACAATCTTTTGATTTCTTAGCAGCAAATTCATTATTCTTTTTTACCACATTACTCTCCTTGGATGTATACCTTAAATCCATCCATGTATAACTATGGTGGCTAAGCTCTGTAATACTGAGAATCGGACTTTTATATCAGAAT